CGGAGAATTGATCTCGTTTGTACACGCGAAACTCGTTTGTACACGCGGCTCCCTCGTTTGTACACGCGGCTTACACGGCTGAAAAAATGAATGAATGAATGAATGAATGAATGACTGAGTGAATGAGTGAATGAATGAATGGAACCCGACCAGATTGTTTCACAATCTGAACCTTGTTGTCTCATTTTACGTCCATCGCTTTAGATGCGCTGTTTGGGCTGTCAGATCCGTGGACGGGTATCAAACGCAGAGCGTCTGTGTGACGTGAACCTGTGGAAGCAATGAGCAAAACGAGATCATCATGTAGATGAATGTCCAGAGGGACGTTATTAACACATCATCAATCAAACGAAGCAATGAGCCAAAAGAGATCATCATGACTGAATTGGTGTGTGCGCGAATGAGGCGAATCATGTGTGCGCATTTGAGTTTGGGGTAACATGGGCTGTTTAAAGAGGAATGTAATCGATGTGTGCGGATTTGAGGGGAATCATGTGTGCGCATTTGAGTTAAATATATAAAAAAGTCTGTGTGCGGATTTGAGGGGAATTATGTGTGCGGAAATGAGGCGCCATCCGATAAAAGGTATGAATTCTCGCGCAAGGAGCGGGGGCTTTGTGTGGCTCAGAGGCATTGCCGTAACCGGCGCTCCCTTGACTGGAAGGCACCTAAAACCTAAAGAAAGGCCTCGAGACAACGGAAAGCAACAGCAGGAAAGAAAAACCAAAAGAACAAAAAGATAGATTACTTAGTGGCTCGCCAATTGGTTCTCTGCTCACGTTGCTCACTCTCCTCACGCTCAGCGGTATACGGCGCTCCTTTGACCAGAGTGAGTGTGTTTGAACGTATCAAAAAGTGCGCCGTTGTTTCGTTGACGCACGTGACGTGTCACTGTTCCCTCTGTAGGTCAAGCTGAGTAGGTTCTGCTGCGTTCGATCGGCAATCTCGAGCAAAAACGACTCAAGCCTGTGGTGCTCCCTTGACAAAAGTGTGTTTGAACGTATCAAAAAAGTTTCCTTTGCGCACACGACGTGTCACGTTCAATCTGTAGTTCGATCTCAGGAGGCCCTGCGGCATTCGATCAGCAATCTCATGCAAGAAACGCAAGCTAGTGGGAGTCAGAGAGGAGGTCACAAGGAAGACAGGAGAAGTCAGTGGGAGTCCCCCAGCGGGTGGGGATCACACCACAGCCCTCAGTGGGACTCTGTGGCGACACACACTTAGAACGTTGCTCGCAAGAGCTGGATCAGTGGATCACGGATGCATTAGCACTTTACTGCAGAAACGACCTGGACCTGGAAACAGACCCTGTAAAGGCCGAAAACAACAGGTGCACACTGTTTTGCATCACCGATTTGTTGGCTTTGTGCAGGTACGTCCAGAAAGCGTCCTTTCTGGACTTCACGACCGAACTATCACTGTCTTCGTTGGGCAGTGAGTGATAGAGGTCCGCTGCCCCCCCTGCCTTTAAATTTTGTTTTTAAACTAATTTACAATCTGGGCAGCCTTGGAAACAGGCTTTTTGACACACGCACACACACACACACGAATGGCAGTTGGTGATGCAAAGGTAGCAGAATTATGCCTCACCCTTTCTTCTCTACCTTGACATCCTGGCATGAAGTGAGCGCTCGCCATTTCCTAGTATCTTTAGTAAGCAAGTAGACGTGGGGCAGGAGCTATCTAGGTTGCTTTCTTGATATTTTTGGATCTCGTTCGGACATCGTTCCAGGAGGTTGGTCAAGTGCTATTTCTTTGATTTTCTTCGAAGCAGTGAACTTCGGTTTTGCCTGAGAAAAAATTCACAGAAGTATAATATACTTCTCCCCCGCCCTATAAAATCCTATAAAATGCCAATGTTTTTGCCCTATATTATGCCAATTTTGACACTCATTTTATAGGCAACATGGGTGGCACAGAGCCTGAATTTTGTTTCTTATTTTTTAGGGTTTTGGAGGTACGAGGTCCACTTTGGCATTTTGTAAACTTTAAAGATTTTGAGGCTGTTAGGGTCAAGGGGGCATTTTATAGGAGGATTGCATTTTTCTTAAATTGAGTGCTGGGACCTGGTCAGGGCCTTTTATAGGCAACTGGGTTCATTCTGTTAGATGAGTGCAGGACCCAACAAGGGCATCTTATGAACTACAAAAATCTTGCCGATGTTCTTTGACATGTTCATACATTGTCCAACTAAAAGGGCCTTTGGCATGTAGACACCGGCCATCCAGGCGTACCTGGCACAATGGTAGTATATAAAATGCACCTGGTGGGTGCCTGCTGTAGGCAGTGCCCTTGCACCTGCCCTCCCCCATTTTATAGACAAGCAGGGCCAGAGGTCCCCACTTAGAGGATAGGTCTCTAAAGGACTCTCAGGTATGGACTTGCCAGAAAGCCTGTGACTGTGGGATGGCTTCCAGCTATATAATTACAAAGGCAGCTAGTTTATAAAATGCTGGGGGGCAGGTGCAAGGGCCCTAAAGCCAGCAGGCACCCACCAGAGGCATTTTATATACTACCATTGTGCCAGAACAGGCCAGCAGGTTAATTCCAGCTAATCACATCCAATTACAAAGCGTGTTTGACAAAGTTCTGCGATGTTGCGAGGCACGTGATAGTTTCTGATTTGTGCCTGTTTGTTCACTTTTTTTGGCGTTTGCACTGTTTGATATATTTTCTATCGTGAACCCATCATGGGCATGTTATAGGCCTGCTGTCTTTTTTCCCCTATTTTTAGTGTTGAGTGCTCAGAATCCACTTACCCCATTTTATAGTTTAGATGTTTTTTTTTTTAAATAGGAAATTCACCCTCTCCAGGCATTTTATAGGGTCCAAAGTTTATAAAATGCATCTAAAAGCATCCAACCTAACAATGAAGGGGATTATATACTTTAAGTATATATTATATAGTATATGTTTTTAAATAGTATACACTTTAAGTATGCAATGTTTGTACCATTTTGTACCCAGGTGAAGTTCACAGAAGAGGCCCGACGTGAGCGCCAGCGCCGTGCTGAAGCGGGCGATCAGAAGTGCATGTTGCGGTACACGCCACCAGCAACGCAGACGCCGCCGCCCCCGCGGCCAGTGCCGTGGTAAAAGGATGGGAGAGAAGGAGACCTGGTACTCTGGGGAACACAAAGAGGGTTCAGTTGAGTTGAGCCTTTGTTGTGCCATGTCAATGTGTTTTTTTGCATCGGCTATATGTTGCATGTATTCGAGCATGTTACTGTAGAGTAGAGAATCCACAATACCAGCACAGGTGGGATATCCATAGTTCAGCTGAATGGATTTGGGTTGCAGCATCCTATGATCCCTGTTGAAATTTCCTCTACGGAATCATTGGGGCCTGGTGGAGGCTAAAGCCTGTAAATTCTGTCCAGCTGAGATCTGGCTTGTTTGAAGCATCTAGGCAAGGGATGCGGTTTTGTAAAGCACAGACATGTGCCGACAGGTGTATATAGGTGGGGTGATTGATTCTGTGGAGTCTTGCTGTAGATGGTTTAGTTATGCCAAGTTTGAACTTCGTGTTTACAAGCAGGGACTATTCTGAAGAAGTTTGAGGGTAGGATTCGAAAAGAAAACACGTGACCATTGTTTGAGGGTAGTGCAGATCTATGCATGAACGAGAGCAGGACGCAGAATGAAGCAGATGAAACGAAAGAAGTGCGGTGTTTTTTTCAACATCAAATTGTTCACAGTTAGCACACCTTTACAACATCACTTGGAAGCAACACAGACATGCTGAGTGCAGACAAGAATCCAGATGGGAAAATTATTCTGTACAACACATGTGGTTTCGCATGTAGAGGATGCAATTTTGCAGACCTGCTACTACTTCAAGGAAATGTGTTTTGTTGGGTAATATAGATTTTGTATTGAGTTGAGACGTGTTTGTCAACAGTCAGGGTATTGATTCTGCAGTTTAACTGTTTTTTTTGGGGTGATCAGTGGTGTTGCGCTCCATTTCAGGCCTGGGACATTGATATTATTAGTACACAGTTCTTTTCACAATCAACACACCCAGCCACGATCTTGGTTTCCAACAGGGATATCATATGTACACAAGTTTGGTGGCGAACCGAATGTAGGCATCAACTTTGAGCGTCTCAACCCCAAAAAAGTTTCGCACCGCCTTAGGCAGCCATGCAATGGCAATCAGCAATTCGTCCGCCGAGACCCCAATGGCAGGGAGGAGGCGACGGCCCGACCGCGGGTGACGAAGGGGTGAGAGGATGGCCCGACAGTGATCGCTTTGAATCTCATGTTGTCCACCATCTGGGGAATCCATTGGTTGTTTTTCTGAAAGAATTGAATATATTGGATGATCAGGATCTCGGGTCAGATAGAATGAGATATACATTCTATATATATATTTATGAATGTACGTTAATCATTAAAATACAAATATAGTTATAGTTATTCAACTGTTGAACTGACTCAGGCATTTTACCCTGTTTCTTTTCCTCAGCTCATTCGCTTTCTTCCAGCCAGGTGCTACTTGGAACCGCTGGTGAGGTGCCGTGCGACACCGCTAGAGTGTTTTGCAGTCTTGTGGGGCTCACTGTCACAGATCGAGTGGGGCCACATCAGATCGGCTCTTAGTTGATTGGAGTCTAGAAGAACATTAAGATTAGTTCTTTTGTAGACATGCTGCAAGAAGCACCTTCCTTGCCGTGTCCATTGTCTTGTTCAATTTCAGGACATTTAAACATCACAATCTGAACCGGAAGCAGCTTTCCCAGTTGTATGTGATCCCTCGCGTTGGCCAGGTGACTCCGGCCATGCCGACTTTGGGGAGTGCACGGAGTTTCCGGCAAAGGGTGTTCAATAGGTCTTTCGAGAGGAGATTCAATTGATGCCCTTCCAAAGCAGAGAGGGCCATTATACGCTATAAGAAAAGACTGTGCCACTACGCCACGCGCGAGGAAAATGGGCGAATCCAGCCATGCACGACCCGCGTGGATCGCCATCGCCATCGCCCTCGGGCCCTGTGGATTAAGGCCATGTGCTTGGCCCTCGGCGCAATGAGGCGAAAGCGCAGGCAGCGCAGCCAGCTGTCTGGGCGGTCTGGGAGTCTGGGCCGGTGTGGCGCATCAGACATCTGATCTGCTTTCAAAAATCCGATTTGCTTGTAGAATAGTTAGGGTCATATGACATGAATTGCATTCGCGCCCATCGGACACTGGGAGCTTTGACAAACTTATGCCCACACCCTTAACCATAGATTTGGAGGGGGGGTCTGAAAAAGCAATTTTCATATTGAGACCCCCTTCTCCTCCCCTGTAACTTACCTCCCCAGCCAAATGTTTGAGGTACATGGAGATGGGGGGAGGGGTTTTGAACATGTAACAAGGTGCTTGCCAGAGATGTAGTTGCACTACCTCCCCTCCCCATAAGATGCATTTTTTTTCGAGGGGGGGAGGGGATTAGAAATTGTAGCTTGGAGTCTTCCAGACTGAAAGTTACATTAGAAATGACCCCTTGCGCAGATTTGATGTCGATGTCTTAAGATGTCTTTTGCCCGCCATAGGAGCAGGAGATCAACATGGATCAAATAGAGGCAATCAAAGCACACACCAGGTGAAAAGGCATGTTTAAATGTATAAAGGCAAGCCTTACAAAGCACAGACCAGGTGAAGGTGGATGTTTGCCAGGCCTGCGCGCACCTATATATATAAGTTACAATTAAGTTATTCCTGGCATTCTGGTCCATACTGGTGGCACCATGACGCAGGATGTAATTGAAATCACTCTTCCCACAACCCCAAAACAGAACAAACCCACCAAAGCACACGAATGTATAAAGAGAAAAGAACCGTTTCTTGTTTGTTTTGAAACATGCAACATGAAGCAACAAAACCTTTAACAAATAACTTCTACGTTCGAACAGTTACAGTCTTGCAGTAGTTACATGTTTTAGGTATATGCCTGACAAACACATGCAACTACATGTTTTAGGTATATGTTGCTGTTGGAAGAAATCTACGTTACAATTTTGTGAGGTCACCTCTGCTAATCGGTAGGGATACAAACTCAAGGGTTGAGTGGCAACACTTTAGGCACATCAAGGCTCACATGCAAAGGGGGGGCCCGTGGTACTCACTGCAGGCAGCCTGTGGTTCTCAGTCATGGCGTCAGAACATTGATGCCAGGATCCTGGCATTTGATGCATTCCTGATCGCAAGCTAGCTTGAAAAGGAATTGCATTCCTCAAGACAAAGCCAATTTCGCTGGGAGCATCGACTTAAACTTAAACCAATCTAGTCTACAGTCTAATCAGTCTACAGGTTCGATCTGTTTGAGAATCCATTTGATCGCCACCATTCTATCAACAACCCGCCAGCATCAGCCAGCCCCGTTGGAAACACCATGAACGTTTTAAGCAGAACTTAGGGCTCCAAAGTCTCCTGCGCTTTTGGACACAGCGTAGCAGTCAAAACGAAAACATCGTGGAACGATCTGAGGCTACTAGTAACAAGGTTCGCTACTAGTAACAAGTGCATCGCTACTAGTAACAAGTGCCTTACTAGTAGTAACAAGAAGCTACTCGTAACAAGTGCATCGCTACTAGTAACAAGTGCCTTACTAGTAGTAACAAGAAGCTACTCGTAACAAGTGCATCGCTACTAGTAACAAGTGCCTTACTAGTAGTAACAAGGTTCGCGTAACAAGTGCCTTACTAGTAGTAACAAGAAGCTACTCGTAACAAGTGCATCGCTACTAGTAACAAGTGCCTTACTAGTAGTAACAAGAAGCTACTACTGTAGTAACAAGTGCCTTACTAGTAGTAACAAGAAGCTACTCGTAACAAGTGCATCGCTACTAGTAACAAGTGCCTTACTAGTAGTAACAAGGTTCGCTACTAGTAACAAGTGCATCGCTACTAGTAACAAGTGCCTTACTAGTAGTAACAAGAAGCGACGATCTGAGGCTTTGAAAGAATCCGAGAGAGCCGCTGGGTGCCAAGCTGTCACAGGAAGCAAGTCACCTTTGTATATGAGGTTTCAGAAGGAAAGGCCAGGTTCTCACGGTTTATATATATATTACAATATAGATCTGTTTGTAGCGTTTGTAGGCTCTACAAGAACTTCACACTTGTATCCACAAAGATGAACTTGCTCGACATACCGTGCTCACCAGATTTGTCTCACCTTCCTGAATCTATACCTTGCCCGAAATCACTGTGACTGCCTAGATTCGCCGGCGGACGAATGCTGCCGGGTGACCAAGTGCAAGACCATGGTTTCTTATCTCTGTTGGCCCCTGACAGCGGCATCTAAGGAAACTAGCCTTCACTATGCTCTTTGGTTCATGTTGGTTCTATGCGTGGTCTCAGTGCTGACCAGCCGACCACCCCGCTGCAGCTTACTAGAACCGTTGTAATTATATATAATACTCCGCATGCCTCTTCCATTCAAAGGTCTTGCATGGTAGACAATCAACGTTGCAGTCTATCGATACATTAACCAGCGAGCGAGCTTCTCCAACACCAGGATGGGTTGTAAGCCTACATTCGCTATCATCCGCTTGTATGTAACATTCAACAGATACGGCCTTGCTTGCACTGAAATTGGATTTGCACAAACACTCTTCGACATTAGCAGCATCTCATTCTACAAAGTTTGCTTGGTCTGGTGTGGTGTAGGAGCCTCTGAATGGCACCAGAGGGGATTTGGCTCACCTTTGTTTCACCATCACAAGACATGGCAGAGGGTGCTTGTTGTGGTTGCCTCCGAGTACCACTGCTATCTTGCTTGTGGTTGTGTCTAAAAGCTTGTCTTTGGTAGTGAGTAGTGCAGCAGATATCTATATTTATATGGTTAGTTAAGGTAGTGTCCACCCCGAGGTGGAAAGTGGCAAGAAGCATGCAGGCCTAGGAGGCCTTCTAGAGCTTTGGGCCCTGTGACAGTGCACCCGAGGACTTGACGAAGTTTGATGTTTGACGAGACAAGCATAGAGATTATTTATGTATGTGTGTTCGACATAGATATAGACTGCTTTGGCCTTGCACGTGAAGCTGAACCATAGCAGGCAAAGATATCTTCCTGTGGGACCGGACAACAATGAGACCGCATGATCTTTGGAGGGACAACACATCCACTGTTGTAGTTCAAAATGGGTTGAATCGCTGACCGACGGTATGCCGCCGGCGAAAACATGTTCAGGTGACTTGCTCTCCGAAAGTGAGGTCAGTGAACTGAGAGAGGAGATCCCGGCTGAGTTTGAAGTCTCGTTCACACTGCACGGCGTAGCCTGGCATACTTGGTATACCTTGGTATCATGAATTTGGGATCCTGAATGGTTGGCTGAAATTCTGACTTTTTGCGCAACAGAGATAAGACGGGTTATCCATGTCTGACTTTGCATGAACTGTATCCAGGCAAAAGTCTCCCCAAGTGCAGAGTTGCCATCACTGCGGAAGGAGTTGCAAAAGATGGAGAATCAATGCCGGCAGGAGGAAAGCCTGAGGTTGTGGGTATGTCATGGGTCCAAGTCTAGGTGCCCTGAGCGACATACAGAACACATGCAAAAGCTTTGCTTCCTTTCAGAGCGCGTGTGATGGGTGTACTCGGACGTTCTCGTCGCCACGGATCACCAATTATCAGTTGTGTTCCTAGTTTGTTGTCCACCAGATAATTGAGATTCACGTTGATTCATTGATGCTGTCTTTGAATCACTGCGCTCCAAGCTCATGACTGGACGACCAAATTCTGAGTACCCAGAGGAGAGCAGACTTTCAGCAGCGGCTGAAGAGGTGCAGCACTGCGCCATGTGCTCTTGGGAGGAAAGGGCGTCAACTTCCGTGTTCGAAGATCAACAACGTGACATGCACCCTTCAATTGCTGTGAAGAGAAGATAAGAGAAGCAACCAAAGGTATTTTTGTCGGAACCAATTTTGCACACAGCAGGGGTGTTGTGTCCCTGAAGTATGCTCTTATTGGAACTATGTTAGCTGAAATCAAGACATTGTGAACAGATATTAGACATATTTCTACTGAAGGGTGTGAGCGAGCTGAAACCAACACGGGCATGGACCTGATCTGCGCGCGCGCGTGCATGCGGGCCAGTGCGCGCAGGATTGTGCGGGTGCACGTGAGGGCATTTAATTTTGGTTTAATAGCGATGGCCTCCAACCTAACAGCGACGGCCTCCAACCCACGATGCTTTGAGCACATCTAAGGAACAAGTATCGAAATGATCAGTTCTTCCACATTTTTTCAGTCGTTTTCAGTGTTCACCATTTTTCTCTAGCTTTCTTCTGCTTTCCCTGACCCAAAGGCGGAGCATGGCCGAAAAGATGCAGGCCTTTGGGAATGCCGTGGGAGTCCTGCTTGAGGTGTTCATTTGCATCAAATCTTAAGCCAATGAATGAGAATCAAATTTAGCTGGGACTTTTCTTGCGGACGAAGTTGCTGCAGTTAGCATGTTCTCTGCACAATTCTTGAATACCATAAAACAGCACCATGCTCTCGGACAACTTGATTCCTGGAAGTACACTATGTTTATATTTTACTGCCTGAGGTACCTTGATTGGCACTGTGGTGGAAACTACTATGTTTCGCATACAGCATACACTTCCATGACGAGTACCTAGAGAGGATACATGTACTGTAGCAGCTACCTTGATTTGGAGGATGTGACTCTTATCGCTTTCGCCCTGTGGCCTCGTCAAGTTTTTCGCTTCAGCATTGATGCACGTTGAAGGGCTCGCAACTGGATCTACCCGGTACCCGGGATTACTCGTGGTTGCTCCACTGGTGATGGCTGCTGCTGGTGTCCGTTGTTGTCCCATTTGTCGTCGTCCCGGCTAAACATACACTTCGAAGCAGTGTATAAACAGTTGCAGGTTACTTTCAATCCGAAGGCAATGGCGAGCTGAGAGAGGTGCGAGATGGGTGAAAGCCAAACCATTGCACATTATATACATAAGACAAATGTAAAGAACAGCAGTTTTTTGAGGTTGATTGCTTTTTGATTTCTCTCGCTGTATAGATTGGATCCCAGGGACTGGCACCGAAACATCTTGAACTGTGCACTAAGCAACGACTGTGCGGCTGGCTTTGGCTCCCCGGCTCCCCATCCATTGCAACTCCATCGCAGTGCAACGGTTTCTCTGAGGGGATACAAGGCATACCAAATGTTACATTAGGGCGTCATGAGCAAGGCAAGCGAAGGCAAGGGTGTGGAAGTCTTGAGAATTGGGATACAAGTGTGAATTTGAGGTAGAATCTCATTCTGTTGAGCCAGGTTGTCACACTATGTTGTGTCTGCCGCCGTTTGGCTCCTAGGGCCCTTGAGCTATACCGTGCTCGCTTTCGCAGTGAAAAGAGCGTGTGGACAGTACGATTCCGGTTGCTACCGACATTGGTAGCGGAGCAGGTGACGGCCTGACTCCGGCACGTACTGATCCAGGTCATTGGAATCGTAGAACATCAAGCCTGAGCTTGCGTGCTTTCGCTTGCCTCCTCTGATCCCGTTGGGGACAGAGCCCGGAATAGATTGCTCGCCCGAGCAATCTCCGTCGGAATCGTCGAACATGTCCATTGCTGGACTCAAGTTCCATTCGGGTAGCACTGGTGATAGAATAGGCAACCCCCTGGAAACTAGGAGTGGGTCTTACATCTATTGGGGAGGTCCTGCATCATTTCATGATTGGAAATTTCGAACCGAACTCCGCATCAAGCTGTACGACCAAGCCCAAACGCAACCAGCAAAGAAGCAGGACCCCGTGACTGGACCTGCCAATGAAGGGGAGCCTTGGCCACCAGAGTCAGACGAAGGATTCGCATTCCCTTCGCCTGGACACTATCCCGAGGAGTTTGAGCCCGAGCCGCGTGAGACTGCCGGTACTCCCAAGTCAAAGGTTGATGCAACATCACCGAAGGCTTCGTCCGTTAAGTCAGACAAGTCGAGTATCATCGATCGCAGTGTCCTAGTGAACAAGATCGTAGAAGGTTTGAGAGGTGATGCCTTTTTGCTTGCCAGAGACTTAGGTCTAGAGACACTTGCACGTCCAGGGGGACTGGAGCGTCTCATCGAGGTGATACGTAACCATGTGTTTCCTCGAGCCTTGGAGGAGAGTAAGGAGCTTTTTCGCGCAGGACAGAAGCATGGAGGACCACTGTCGAGACAGCCTACAGAAAGCATGTTGTCGTACACTCAACGTCGACGACGCTGGTGGACCTTGTTGGTTGAGCTTGACCCCACAATGATGATCTCGGAAGCTTTCCGCACAGAGCTATTGTTGGAGATGTCAGGTATCTCTAGGCAGGAGATCCTTGTGGTGAAGGCATGTCGCAAGAACGATGACTTCGAAGGTACTGCACGGATCCTGGTTGACAACTACAGTGGAATCCATCTTCGTAAAGGGTCCCGATCCTGGACAGGACGGGGAACTCAGCCTCAGGTAGGCAAAGGCAAAGGGTACCAGAAGGGGTACCAAGGTAAAGGTAAAGGTAGCCAATACCCTCGTGCTGGTTACAATGCCATCTATCCCGATTGGGAAGACAATTTCGAATGGAGAGATGAGGACTTGCAGGAGCATCATCATGAAGAAGATTGTTTCGTAGGCATGCTAGGAGGCGTTGAAGAGCCTGAAGAACATGAACATGCTAGCCATACCGAATACGAAGAGTTTGAGTATCATGATGATGTTGATGAATATGAAGCAATTGCCTTGAATGCAGTAGTTGATTGCGAAGATGCCGAAGAACGTTCCTCAGGTGATGCTATCCAATTGCAGCTTGCCGCATTCGTCGCTTTCGGGAAGGCAAAAGGCAAAGGCAAGGATAAATTCAAGGGGAAAGGTAAAGGCAAAGGTAAGATAGTGAAGTCTCACCTTAGCATCGAGCAACGTCGACAGAAACTGTCCGAGATCAAGGCGAAATCCAAGTGTCTTCGTTGTGGTGGTTTAGGTCACTGGGCCGGAGACCCCCAATGTAAGATGCCCAATGCCCCGAAGACTGGATCGGCCCCGAAACCTGCTGCACACATTGCCCACTGCCCACATGAGTGATTCATCCGAGGACGAAGGGATTTTTCTACTTAGGTGTCACTTTTTGATTTGTAAATGCTTATAAGTCATACTTGCGAAAGTTATGTAAGTCTGAAAAAGGACTTACAGAGAATTTACAAAGATTTACAAAAACCACGTTTGGAGACTGCTTTGGCAGCACTTGCAGCGTGTGGAAATTTGCATGCATAAAGCCGTAAAATTCTTGTTTGAAACTACGAAATTATGATATCTATGTAGCCGCACGTTTTCTGGATACATATATATTGTATTTCTTTTGGTCTAAATATGAAACGTACTTGTCAATGTGCACATATCACATCCTGTATATATACTGAAGATTCTTGGGTTTTGCTTTTCATCTTTCGGTCATTACCGATTGTCGGTCGTTACCGAAGGTTGACATTGACCGTGGCATTTGGTTTATAGTCAGGGGGTTCGGATTTCAGCTCGAAGGCACCTTCAGATATGGGGGACGAAGAGAAGCCGGTGTCTTTACCCATTGAACAGTACTTTGGCAGTTTTGAGACACATATTTTCCATTTTAAGCACGACTCGAAAAATCACTTGTGGGAACGGTCATTACCGTGGGTCTTGGATTAGGGTCATTACCCAAAACCACCCCATACCACCCCATAACACCCCATACCACCCCATACCACCCCATACCACCCTATACCATCCCTATACCATCCCTATACCATCCCCATACCATTCCCATACCACCCAAGGTATCCCCATACCATCCCCATACCATCCCCATACCATCCCCATACCACCCCATACCACCCTATACCATCCCTATACCATCCCTATACCATCCCCACACCATCCCCATACCATTCCCATACCACCCAAGGTATCCCCATACCAGCCCCATATCATCCCCATACCACCCCATACCATTCCCATACCATTCCACATATCTATTCAGACGTGCGGCTACATAGATATACATCCATACTATGCTATGATACTATTTCTGAAAGTTAGCAAGTGCAACAAACCCAAGAAGCACAAACAAAAACTTTCAGCCAAGGCTGACCTTTCTTAATTCAAAAGCCAGAGAAAGGTTGCGTCGCCAAGAAGCACAAAAGGTGCAGTTATATCTCACAAAGTCGGCTTTGCACGCTTGCAACAACCAAAATGGCGCTTGCTCACAGTTTAATCACAGATATTTGCAATCACCATTCTTCAAAATCTGCCTTTTGCATTTCATAGCACAACAAACTCAAAAAACATAATTTTAGAAACACTAAAAACAAGTTTTTTGGAATTTACAAAAATTATGAAATAGTTTTTGTAGATTTTGTAACCATACTTATAATCAACTACAAATTCAAAAGTGACACCTAAGTAGGCGCGGCGTCTCCAACCGACAGCGTTGCTCACATGGCCGTGAAGGCCAGCTCAGGAGTTCGTCCGGAGGCACCAGTGAGTCCCAACGACCTCGTAAGGCCTGAGGGGAGCGATAGGAAGTTCTTAGCTGGACAGTTCAGGGGGAAGACATTTTGGCAGATCCTTATGAACATCCTGACTACCACCAATGGGCCATCAAGAATGGCAAGAGTCCAATCGCTTCGGCTTTCGTCACGTGGGTTGATCAGCATTTTGAGTACAGGGGAGCTTCAGTTTTCAGGAAGGTTGGTGGTGCTTCTTCTTCATCGTCATTGCAGCCTATCCCAAAAGGGTCCTCAAGGAAGAAACCACCATATCCACCAAAAGAGAAATGCAAGAATTGTTCCGAGTTCACCAAACAAGGGAGCACAGCATACACCATCAAGAAGACATATGCCTTGTCTGTGGGAACTCCACCACCGAGCGTAGAGAGCAAGCCCCGAAGTTTGCATATGACAATTGCCCGCACTCGGACACCGATTTTCGAGGTTCTTCCAGGTCTGTTCACCGTGTGTTTTGCAAGCTTTGTTGTTCGTTTTTGGATGAGACTCCGATGGAGCTCCAAAAGACTAGGAAGGCAGCCTCTGAGAAAGTCGTCAACGCACCGCTCGATAGGATCCCAATGATTGAACGTTTGGTTGAAGAGGAACCCGAAGAAGGACACACCCCCGAGATGCTAGAGAAGATTTTGACTGAATTTGCCGCCCAAGTCGCGTTAGCAGCCGAAACCGAGGCAGTGACTTCGATCAAGCTGCGCGAGCTCCTCCACCAGTCCATCGAAGAGAGCAAAGGAGACTCGTTCACCATGATTGATTACACCGAAGATCCAGACCCCTTTGCAGGGATCGGCATTTGTTTTCATGGGGAGGAACCTGCTCGCATGACGGACGGTCTGGTGCACATCTTTCACGAATCCAGAGACATGTACAACCCAGACGACAGAAACATCTACATCGTGCTCGACGAGGGATGTAATTCCACCTGCCATTCGAAGCACTGGGGAGACGTTGTTGAGGCCAAGTTGAAGAAGCTAGGATACGACTTCCCCTTTTCGACCACGACATCGAAGAATTTTGCCGGTTTAGGTGAAAATGGGACCACCACAGAGGGATCCCGCGCGTTGCCATTTTCGTTGCATTTCGAGACAGGCAAACCCGTGCATGGTGTCCTTGAGTCCCACCAGCTTTCGAAAGGTCGTTCTCCGCTGCTTTTGTCTCTTCATGCACAAACGCATTTAGGATTGGTGAAAGATCTCAAGAATGGTATTGTCAGCATAGATGGTAACCATCTCAAGGTATACCGATGTGTTCACACAGGTCTCATGATGTTGGCAGTCACCCCACAACAGTTGATCCAGAGTTTCCAACAAAGCTCAGAACCCCAAGTGATCCCTAAGTGCCACAGACGTTTTCGCACTGCGTATCCCGCGATGGAACGCGGATGGAATGGCGAGAGGGGTTTTCAGGCCAATTCT